CAGCCAGCATCTGCACCCCCGAGGTAGCTGGGGGCCCTTGCGGGTGGCCAGGCCCATCTGGCAGCCTTGTCCCTGCTCATCCAGCTGCTCTGGGTTGTGTTCAGTTTCCTGGGCTCTGCCTCTCCACCTGTTGCTAACATGAGAGCTTGTGTACCCTGGGCTGGTGGGGATGGGGTTTTGGCTCGTGGGCAATCTGGGTGCCGGGCTCAGGGTCCCAGTGGCTCTGGGTCATGGCCTCGGCCCCACAATGGCTGTGCTGCCCCATCAGGGGTCTCTGCAGCTGGAAAATGCCTGGTCCTTCTCCTGGAGATACAGGAGTCTTGGATTACCTGATGATGGCCACGTCTTGCTCCCCTGGTACCACCCACCCACCCACCCACCAAGTCTGGCCAGGGTCTCCCTCTGGGCCCCAAACCAAGCTATCCATCCCAGCATCTGCCTCGAGTGGCCTCTCCTGTACCCGGCTGCCCAGGGAGAGATCCAAAGGCTCCATCCCAGGCTGCTGGGGTGATCAAGGACCTTGAGAGGACCCCACACTGTCAGATCAGGATGAGGCTGAGGTCTGAGAGGCAAGTCTCTGCCCAGGCCCTGGTTGGCCAGGCCGAGCTGGCCACAGCTTCCCCAGAGTAGACGCCGCCATGCATTTCCCCACCCCCCACCCCCTGCCCACCGCAGCTTCCTGGCCCCGCACTGCTCCTGCTGGGTAACAAGGTCGCATTGTATTAAATTCTCAAGGCAACCGCTGTGTGAAAAAGCAACGCAAACCAGCAAGGAACCTGCTTGCCACAGGGCCCCTCAAAGGGCTCTGCTGCTCCTCTGGCAAAACCTCCTTTAGGCAGTGACTATGCCGGCTGTTGGCTGGGCTGTGTCCTGGGAACTGGGGCTGGGAGGGGCCAGATGGGAGGGCCCTTGTCCCCCCTGCGCCCGCTGGCCCAGCTCTCAGTGTCCACCCAGGTACAATGTCCCCTCCCTGACTCCCTACTGGCCAGGGCAGACATAGCTGAGCTCTGAGGCCTTGAGGCCTTTTCAGAGAAAACCAGGACACAGGGGCTCCTCCCAGGAGCCTCTGACCCCCAGACCCAGAAACGGGCTTCTCTGTGGGGTCCCTCAACTATGACTTTCCTCTCACCTGAGGGGACCAGGCAGGCGGGCTCAGGCACCTGAGTCTTTAGGGAATAAGATCCTGCCCTCTCCACTCACAGCAGGAGCACCTGGCAGCCAAAGCTCAAGGCCTGCCCCTCTGCCAGGGCTGGGGCAAGGAAGCCCCGTGGTGGGGGGTGGTCCTGGGTGGCGAGGAAGCCCTTCGGTGAGGGAAGCTCTAACCTGGTGGGAGTGGCAGGCAGCCCCAGGTGTGTGGATGACCCCAAGACAGATGCGGACAGCCCCCAGGTAGGGAGGAGCAAAGGTCTTGGGGGTGTAGGCAAAGGCTTTGCAGGCTCCTCCTGCAGGGCCACTGTGGGAGACAATTTGTCACTTTCTTACAAAACTAAACACACTCTGACCACAGCATCTAGCAATCCCACTCCTTTGAATTTACCAAAATGAGTTAAAAACATGTATCTATAAAAACCTGCACAGGAATATTTGTAGTGGCTTTATTCATAATTGCTCAAACCTGGGAGTAACCAAGATGTCCTCTCATAGGTGGATGGATAAATAAAGCATGGTACGTCCAGACAATGGAATATCGCTCATCGTTAAAAAGACGTGAGCTGGCGGGGCAAGGGGGCTCCAGCATGTAATCCAGCACTTTGGGAGGCAGAGGCAGGCGGATCACTTGAGCCCAAGAGTTCCAGACCGGTGTGGGCAACATGACGAGATCCTGTCTCCACACACAAAAAAACACAAAACTCATCGGGGCGTGGTGGTACACACCTGTAGTCCCAGCTACCTGGGAGGCTGAGGCGGAAGACCGCATGAGCCTAGGAGGCTAAGGTTGCAGTATCTGTGATTTCACCACTGCACTCCAGCCTGGGTGACAGAGCAAGACCCTGTCTCAAAAAGAAAAAAGAAAAGAAGAAAAAGAAGAAGAAGAAGTGAACTATTAAACCACAAAAGACATGGAAGAACTGAAGTACATATTCCTAAAAAAAAAAAAGAAGAAGCTGAAAAAGACTACATAACCTATGAATCTGGCTCTATGACAGTTTGGAAAAGGCACAACTGAGACAGTCAAAAGATCCCTGGTTGCCAGGGGATGGGAGAGGGTGGGATGAACACACAGAACACAGACGAATTTTGGAGTGGAGAAACGTACTGTATGTACAATATTAGAGCAGTGGGTCTGTCTGCATGATCATACTTGCGTCCAAACCTACAGAATGCACAGCACCAGGGGGAAGCATCATGGAAACTGCAGAGGGTGAGGAAGACAGTAACAATGTGTAGCAAACTGCCTGGTACCATGGGACTGGGGAAGGCTGTGTACTTGCAGGAACATGCAAGGAGCGGGAGAGCTCCATGCTTGACTGAATTTTGCTATGAACCTAAAACTGCTGTAAAAATAAAGTCTATTGAAAAAAGAAGTGTTAATTTGTAGCGAAGAGATGAGCCACAAAGGGGAAAATGTGTTTAAACAATAACTAATTGGCTCATGCCTATAATCCCAGCACTCCGGGAGGCCGAGGTGGGTGGATCACGAGGTCAAGAGATCGAGACCATCCTGGTCAACATGGTGAAACCCCGTCTCTACTAAAAATACAAAACATTAGCTGGGCATGGTGGTGCGTGCCTGTAATCCCAGCTACTCGGGAGGCTGAGGCAGGAGAATTGCCTGAGCCCAGGAGGCGGAGGTTGCGGTGAGCCGAGATCGCGCCATTGCACTCCAGCCTGGGTGACAAGAGCAAAACTCCGCCTCAAAAATAAATAGATAAATAAATAAATAAATAAATAAAGGACAATGGGCTCATTTCTGAAATTCAGAGGACTTTCAGAGCTAGCCAAGCAGAGACCACGTTTCACAAACACAGAGCAGGACCGGGATGTCGCAGCCACGATGGGACAGCGACCACAAGTGGATGCTCACCCCGCGCCAGCCTGTGGACGGAGAGCATCCACGCCGGCCCGCAGCCCCCAGGGGAGCCGCCTCTCCAGGGCCTGCCAGCAGGTGCCCGGGCCTTCCGCCCCCAGGGCTGCACGTGGCCCTCCCAGGGGAGGCTGGTGACCCGGATCTTCCACTTCCTGGAAACGGGGGCTCCTGGGAGATATGCAGATGAGCCCGGAGCATCATGGGAAATGGCCCTTCAAATACCCGGGCCGGCCGCGCGTCCTTCCTCGGCGCCGCGGGAGCAGCGGAGGCGCGGGGTCGTGTCGGCGCGGGGTCCTGTCGGCGCGGGGTGCTGTCGGCGCGGGGTCGTGTCGGCGCGGGGTGCTGTCGGCGCGGGGTCGTGTCGGCGCGGGGTCGTGTCGGCGCGGGGTGCTGTCGGCGCGGGGTCGTGTCGGCGCGGGGTGCTGTCGGCGCGGGGTGCCGGAGCCGGGGCCGGCCGGGATACTGCAGGTGCCCCGGGTCCCCCCACTGTCCCTCGGGTCCCCCAGTGTCAGGTCCCCCCAGTTTCCCTCAGGTTCTCCCACTTTTCCTCAGTTTCTCCCACTCAGGCTCCCTCGGGTTCCCCCACTTTACTCAGGTTTCTCTCAGATGTCCCCCCACTTTCTCACGGGTCCCCTCAGTTTCTCTCACGTTCCACCCGATTTCCCAGGTCCCCCCACCTTCCCTCGGGTCACCGCATTTCCCTCAGGTTTTCTCCGTTTCCCTGATTTCCCCACTTTCCCTCAGGTCCCCCCAGTTTCCCTCAGGTACCCCCAGTTTCTCTCAGGTCCCCCCAGTTTTGCTCAGGTCCCCCCACTTTCCCTCAGGTCCCCCCAGTTTCCCTCAGGTCCCCCCAGTTTCGCTCAGGTCCCCCCAGTTTCCCTCAGGTACCCCCAGTTTCCCTCAGGTACCCCCAGTTTCTCTCAGGTCCCCCCAGTTTCCCTCAGGTACCCCCAGTTTCCCTCAGGTACCCCCAGTTTCTCTCAGGTCCCCCCAGTTTCCCTCAGGTCCCCCCAGTTTCTCTCAGGTCCCCCCAGTTTCCCTCAGGTCCCCCCAGTTTCTCTCAGGTCCCCCCAGTTTCCCTCAGGTCCCCCCAGTTTCTCTCAGGTCCCCCCAGTTTCCCTCAGGTCCCCCCAGTTTCTCTCAGGTCCCCCCAGTTTCCCTCAGGTCCCCCCAGTTTTCCTCAGGTCCCCCCAGTTTCCCTCAGGTCCCCCCAGTTTCTCTCAGGTCCCCCCAGTTTCTCTCAGGTCCCCCCAGTTTCCCTCAGGTCCCCCCAGTTTCTCTCAGGTCCCCCCAGTTTCCCTCAGGTACCCCCAGTTTCTCTCAGGTCCCCCCAGTTTCCCTCAGGTCCCCCCAGTTTCTCTCAGGTCCCCCCAGTTTCCCTCAGGTCCCCCCAGTTTTCCTCAGGTTCCTTCAGGCTCTGTCAGGTGAGACTGACGGGGTGCAGGGCAGTGACGAGCCCGGGGAGCTCAGCCGGAGAAACCGAAGGCCTCCCAGCCCCAGTGCTGCTCAGACTGAACGGGGCCCCCCGTAAAGGGCCGGCCTGAACCCCGACGTGCCTGTTCCTGCTGCTCCCCGCAGTCCACTCCCGCCCTGCTGCGGGGGCGCCTCATCTCCCTCCGTTTGCCTTTCCAGCTCCCCGGACACTGCGGCGACTGCAGAAGCTGAAGACGGCCCAGAGGTTCAAGCGTCCGCCCTCTGCAGGTCCCCACTGAGCTGGGACCCAGGTCATCCGCCCTACCCCAAATCCCCGGACAGGAAACCCTTTTCCCCTGTTCCCTGTCCCCCTCGTCCCTGCCCCCCAGCATCCTACTGGCCCCAGCACCTGCAGCCAGATTTTCCTGTTCCCTCAGGTTTCCAGTTTCTCTCAGTATCTCTCAGGTTCCCTCAGTTTCTCTAAGTCTCCCCCAGCTTCCCTCAGGTCCCCTCAAGTTCCCGCTCCTGCCCACCCCAGCAGGAGGCAGGCAGCCTGGCCATGTGTCCCCCGGTCAGTGTGCGGCTCGGGGAAAAGGGCATATCCTACCTCTACGCCTCCTGGATGTATCGGCGTCAACATGGAGACCAGCTCGGCGTTTGCTTCACTTGCTTCAAGAGTGCCTTTGAGGACCTAAAAGAGATGCTGGAGTCAGAGATCTTGGAAGAAGTCAACTGGGACCCTGAGCTGATGGAGCACACTGAGGCAGAGTCTGAGCAGGAGGGGTCCCCAGAGATGGAGCTGGGCTGGGGGCAGAGCCCAGGGCAGCCTATGCAGGTGGGCTCTGAGGCATGGGAGCCGGAGACCCTGGCATCAGCCCCAGAAGGGATGGAAGATGATGCGGGCCTGGAAGATGACGAAGACCTCGAATTTGTGCCCACTGAACTAGGGCCTCAGGACGCTGAGCCCCTGGGCCTGGGTCTTGAGGATGCCGACTGGACCCAGGGTCTTCCCTGGAGATTGGATCTGCCTCGTATCTGCTGCTCACACTGGCGAAGCTGCTTTTCTTCGTGGCAGGAGTCTTTGAAAGTGGACCTGCCCCCAGGGGAGCCCATGGTGTTGGAGCTGGGCACTAGCTAGGCAGTGGACCCTGCCACGGCTGAGGCCTGGTTACTGGCCCTGCAGCTTGTCTCCATGATGGACTGCTATGATGCCATCTACCTCCAGAAGATGACCCCGAACAGGGCCCTGAGGACCCCAGGGCAGCACTGGAAATTACTGCTGTAACCTGGTGAGGGGTGGGTGGTGAGACTCCAAGACGCACCCCAAGAGCAGGACCTGCATCAGTGGAAGCTGAGCATTCTAGAAACATCCTCAACAGGACACAGAGCAGAGCTGGTCCCTGCAGACACTGCCCTGCAGAAGAGGGGATTCATCATAGTCTCTTATTCACCCCAGGCCAACAGGGAGAGAGACAAGGGGGAGTCGGCCTGTAAGCTACAGTCCTCCAGCCAAAGACAGGATCCCAGCACCCCTGAGACACAGAGCAGGGGTTCCAAGGAAAGCCTGGCTGTTGCAGAAGTCTCAGCCATGGGGGAGGTGCCCTGTTTTCAACCTCAGTCCAGGGCCCCAGAACTGAGTGACTAAGGCTCATGTAGCTGCCATTGATCTGGGTATACCAGGACATCAGACTGAAGGGCCAGCAATTGCTCTTCCACAACAGCTAGGGGAGCAGTTGGTAAAGGAGGAGCCCTTTGCCCTAGGGAATATGGGGAGCAGCTTTAAGAGCTGGGAGATAGGGCCTGTTGTGGCCTCAGAGGGAAGCGTTACAAATATTCATAACCTGGAAACAAGTTCTCATCGGTTGATTGTGACATAGTTCTGGATGTGTTGGCCTGAGTGGCTGCTGTGCCGCTTGTGACGTGGGGGCAGGGCACAGAAGTTGTGCCTATTTTACCTTGGCCATGGGGTGGGATATTGCTTGTAAAACACGTTCTCTGCAGAACACACCAGAATCTATTGTGACCTGGATCTGTTCTTGACTTTGCCAGGACAATCTAAGGGCTGCCACAAGACCCTGTCAGCAGCACTAGGGTCTCTGGTCTACGGGAAGAGCTGGTTCCGAACGTTGACTGTTGATGCAATTTAATTCCTGTTTTAAATGTTTTTAATTAAATAGTCATATACCTCCGCAGGTTTTGTTGATTACCCTTGTTCTCTCAGTATCTGGGCTAAGCCCCCTTTACTGGCTCGAAATCCCGCCAGGTGATGGAAGAAGAGGAGCTGAGGGTTCTGGTCGGTTTTCAGGCTCATCAGGGAGTTTGTTTCACATTACTTACAAAGAAATACAGGGCCAGACACAGTGGCTCGTGCCTGTAATCCCAGCACTTGGGTATTGCTTGAGCCCAGGAATTTGAAACCAGTCTGGGCATCATGAGATTTCATTTCTACTAACAATACAAAAAGTTAGCCTGGCATGGTGGCACACACCTGTACTCCCATCCACTCAGGAGGCTGAGGCAGGAGGATTGCTTGAGACCAGGAGGGGTCCCCAGCCACAGTGAGCTATGATTGTGCCACTGCATTTCAGCCTGGGCAACAGCAAGACCCTGTCTCAAAAAATAGGCCAGGTGAGGTGGCACATGCCTGTAATCCCAGAACTTTGGAAGGCTGAGTCGGGGATCGCTTGAGCTTAGGAGTTCAAGACTAACCTGGGCAACATGGCGAAACCCTTTCTCTACAAAAAATACAAAAATTAACTGGGCGTGGTGGTGTGTGCCTGTAGTTCCAGCTACTTGGGAGGCTGACGTGGGAGGATTGCTCGAGTTTGAGAGTTCAGGCTGCAGTGAGCCAAGATCAGACCACTACACTCCAGCCTGGGTGACAGAGTGAGACCCTATCTCAAAATACTTAAAGAAGGGCCATGTTTTGAACAATAAGAATTGTTCAAACATAGAACTTAATGTAGACATGTCCCAGAATTTTTATAATTATATTTAACTTATATTTAAAATTTTATATAAAAATATTTTTATTTATAATAAACACTTTTTTATTAAGCAACAAGAATTGTTCAAACATACAATTTCATGTAGACATGCCCAGAATTTTTTTTTAAGTCTATAGACCAAACTACATGTAAAGGTTGCTAATGTTGAGGAGACAGATGATGCCGATTATGATGGCTACGATGGTGGTGATCATGGTGATGCGGAGACAGTGAAGACAGGAAAGAAGATCTGAAGGATAAAGGCTCTGCCTCCTTGGACTTGGCTGCTGCTGGGGCCTCCCCGTTAGTTTCAGCGTTGGGGCCCTCACGGCCGTCAGACATGGATGGGGATGATACTCCTTCGAGAAGGAGGTAGGGCTCCCGGCCTTGTCTGCCAGGAAGGCAGGAAGAAGGGGAATGGCCATGCTGAGGAGGAACCCCCACACTCTGTTACATGACACAGGGTTAGGGGTTTGGCCCTGTGGCATGGTACACACATGTGCCTTTGGTTGTATGCTTGCAAGAGAAATCTGGGGCCACTGGGGTTTCTGCCCCCACTCCAGCCTTGACTCCCACCTTTGCAATCCCTAGAAGGGCTTTCCAGAGCTCTGCATTCAGCCTCTTCACTCAGGACATGTGGTGAATCCTGAACTGGAACCTTTTCCCAAAGGCCTTATGGGACCAGGAAGGCTGTAGTGTTGGGGCCCCCAAAACTTGATTTTGAGAAAAGACTATTACGTGTACTAGACATTTCTCCTCACTCTACGTTTGAGCTTTCCTGCGCTTGGACATTTTAAGTCGGGAAATGCTCTGAATTCCACATTTTCTCCTGCCAGCTTACGCCTTCCCATCACTTTAGATTGCTCAGATGTCCAAGGCACTTCACTAATTAATTGGCCCACCCAGCTGGAGACCCGTGCAGTTCTAATGGTTTGATGATGTTACCGTCTCTCCAGCTGTGTCTAAGATCTGGCGGTGTTTGAGACCAAGACTGGGGACGTCGTAGTGCCTGAAGTTGAACGTAAGGGAAAATATTAGCAGCAACATCAAGGGAAACATCTCCTGGAAGAGTAAAGTGAACTCGTTAACCGCAGAGGTGCTCTGGGAGAGGTGGGAGGCCCTGCAGGGGTGCGCCCCTGGGACCTCCTTCCAGAAAAAAGAGCTCTCAGCTCTGGGTAATGAAGTGGGCCCACGTGCCCTGGGTAGGACCCCAGGCAGCTGATGGCCAATGGCTGAGCTCTAATTGGGGCTTGGAGTGCCTGGCCATTTCTCTATGCCAGTCTTTGCTCCTTGTGAGGTTCTCTGACTCTATCTGGGGTACATTCAGCCTGAGCTGCCCCCACCCCTCACTTTTAGTCCCTTATTTTTATTATTTTCTTTTTATAGAGACGGAGTCTCGCTGTGTTGTGCAGGCTGGTCCTGGATTCCTGGGCTCAAGTGATCCTCCCACTTGGCATCCCACAGTGCTGAGATTACAGGTATGAGCCACTGTGCCTGGCCACGCTCCCTTATTTTCATCAGGCATCTCCACCCCAGTGTCTGCGGCAGGATGGGCCTCTGGTCTCTGAGTACCTGGGAGGTAAGGTGGGTTCTGAACAAAGAATCCTCTTCAGTTCTGAAGAACACAAGCGTCAGGCTGGATGGGCACCTAAAAAGAGCCCCCATGAAACCAGTTGTCTGTGGAACCTCATTTTCTTTTTTTTTTTTTTTTTTTGAGAAAAAGAATAAAGAAGAGGAAGAAAGAGAAAGAGGAAGGAGGAGAGAGAATGGGGGTATTGCTTTGCTGCCCGGGCTAGAATGCAGTCTAAATATGGGTATGCCTATAATTGTCCTTAATAATGGAGACATGAAAGAAAATGAGGGAAAAGAGTAACAAACGAGGAGCCAACCAACATTTCGTTTAAACTTCTAAGTTGATATGATGTGGTACTGATAAGAGTGTATATTTTGTGTAAAGTGGAGAGTTCTATAAATGTTAATTACGTTTACTTGTTCCAGATCTGAGTTCAAGTCCTGGATATCGTTGTTAATTTTCTGTCTCATTGGTCTGTCTAATATTAATGTTGAAGTCTCCCACTATTATTGTGTGGGAGTCTAAGTCTCTTTATAAGTCTTGTATGTCTGGGTATTCCTGTATTGGGTGCGTGTATATTTAGGACCTTTAACTCTTCTTGTTGTTGCATTAATTCTTTTATCATTATATAATGTCCTTCTTTGCTTCTTTTGATCTTTGTTGCTTTAAATACTATTTTATCAGAGACAAAAATTGTAACTTCTGCTTATTTATTTATTTATTTTTGCTCTCTGGTTGGTTGGTAAGTCTCTCTCCATCCTTTGTTTTGAGCCTTTGTGTATCCTTGAATGTAAGATGGGTCTGGATGCAGCATACAGTTTTAGTTTTTTGTCCAAATTGCCTGTCTTTGACTTGAGGAATTTAGTCAATTTAAATTTAGAATTAATAATGATATATGTGAGTTTAATACTGTCATTTAATATTAGCTGGCTATTTTGCCCATTAGTTGATGTAAATTCTTCATTATATTGATGTTTTTTACTTTTTGGTATTTTTTAAAAAGGCTGATACTGTTTGTTCCTTTCTATGTGTAGTGGTTCTTTCAGAAGCTCTTGTAAAGCAGGCCTGGTGGTGATGAATTCTCTTAATGCTTGCTTGTTCACAAAAAACTTTATTTTTCCTTCACTTATGAAGCTTAGTTTGGCTGGATGTAAAATTCTTGGTTGAAAGTTCTTTTCTTTAAGGATGTTGAATATTGGTCCCCACTCTCTTCTGGCTTGTAGGGTTTCTGCTGAGAGATCTGCTGGGAGTCTGATAGGCTTCCCTTTGTGGGTAACCTGACCTTTCTCTCTGGCTGCCCTTAGTATTTTCTCCTTCATTTCAACCCTGGTGAATCTGACGATTATGTGCCTTGGAGTTGCTCTTCTTGAGGGATATCTTTGTGGTGTTCTCTGTATTACCTGGAGTTGAATATTATCCTGCCTTACTAAGTTGGGATAATTTTCCTGAATAATATCCTGAAGCATATTTTCCAGCTTGGATTCATTCTCTTCATCACATTCAGGTACACCTATCAAGCGTAGATTAGGTCTTTTCACGTAGTCCCATATTTCTTGGAGACTTTGCTCATTCCTTTTT